GTTAGAAATGCATCCTAATATATGATGTTATATTTATATATGAAATGGAAGATATACATGTGTGGACTGATGAATGGAAAGATGAATGGTTTGTTAAGTTATTAGTTAAACATGTCGTTTAGCAATATCTATAAACTGTCGAATTTCTACAAGGATTTTATGGTAGTATCAAAACGTAAATAAGGAAAGCATTGGTCTATTTTTTAGTTGCCTCTGTCATATTTGAAAGACATGTTTATGTTGGGTGTATGAATGATGAAAATGAAATCTTCTGTGAAACCGGCCCCCTGGCGGGAAAACGGCCTGTGACGTAAGACGACGTTGTTGGGACGTTGCGTCGCATAGAAAAAGCCTGCATCAGTGTATGAGCACAAAGCTATCCTCAACTGTATTACAAAACTGTATTATGATTTAATGTTTGGAAAAAGTTTGCCGCCGAGACCTTGAAGTCAGCTGAAACGTAAACTAACCGTTCTACGACGAACGTGAATATAAAGTAGAAGAAAAACGTATTGCGTATACACTGTGTGCAAATTAGCAGGGTGTGGTGAAAGTAGACTAATACTTAGCAACTACGTACGTAGTGTAATTATTATGATATGAAGTCATAGAAGTTTTACAGCGGGCCCGTTACTCGTGAGAGTACTTTACTCAGTATCTTCAGTGAGAATTGTACTAAATATTTTGGCGAGAAATGAATGTAGTGTACGACCTGGATTGTATGACGACGTAATTACGAGGAGATGAACCCGATTGAACCCATTGTTTTGTGTCAATGGTCAACTGGTGTTTTGTACCCAATTGAAACCATCATTGTCAGAGTGATTATTGTAGTTTTTATAGATTTGAAAAGAATGGAAGTGAAAAGCAACGGAGAAATAAATGGAAATTTAACCGAAAAAGGAATAGATAAAACAAACAGAAATCCTCTTAAACTCATTAAATCTTGTAAGATCGACTTGCTACCCATGCTTTACCGCTGTCTGCAGTGCACACACTCGTGTTTTACGTACGCAGGAAATTTTCACGCAGTTCACGTTATGGAGCCAGTGGCTTGTGTAGAACCAGCCCGTGCGTTGTCTTGCCAACGTCACGTAACACTTCGGTACTCTATATGAACCAGGGTGATTAAAACTCCGTAGAAGTAAATGTCAGTTCGAAATTGGATATTTAGCAACCGTTAATTGAAATTGAAATAATCTTCGTTTCAAAAGGGGAGGGATTGTAGTGTTTAACCCTGAGGTCAGCTCAAACGTAAACTAAGTTAAGTAACCGTTTGACGAACGTAAACAGAAAGTCGAACAAAAACCTATTGCGTATATACACTGTGAGGGGATTGCCATGAGCTTGCGAATAGAGCAGCATGGTGGTTGGAGTGATTTTATTGTGTGAGGTACTGTGACTGTTTGAAGTTGAGGTTTGGCAATTTTATTATATTTGCACACGCAAATGTCTGACTCACTGACTGACTGACTACCGTCAAGTGACTAATGCAAACTAACCTAAAATGTTGACTAGCCAGCAGGACTAGTCACGTGTAAAATGGACTAGCCCTTAAAAATATCTCTGAGCCCTTACTTTTCTGAAGTGCCGCGCTGATGCTATACGCAGTGAGCAGAAATGTGTGGGGGGTTTTCCGGTGGGGGGGGGGGTAAGGTGGCTGGATGTTGGTTTTTATTTCAGGCGCTCCGACATGCTTTCTGCGAAATTGCTTGACTGTGAACATTTACATTCAGCATATATTCAACCGCTTGTCTGTACGATACTCCTAGGCGGAGATATTGCAGCGTAATGAAGCCTCCCACAGGCCTCAGTACAACAAGGCCCCATAGGCCTCAGTCGAACAAAACGGTATTGCGTATATACACTGTGAGGGGATTGGCATGAGCTTGCGAATACAGCAGCATGGTGGTTCGACCGATGTTATTGTCTGTGTGTATTTTTACCTGCAAATGGTCATCAGACTGAAAAGCAGTTGGAACAGCTCCAGCCGTCAGCCTCACTGCCTGGCCAGTTCGGTCGAAACAATTGTCCGTGAAATGCTTGCTGCAAAGCACTGAGGAATCACGAAGCTCGAAATGTTCAATGCGTTCAGTACAACAATATTGCCGTGAAATACCACTATTTGCCACTTTGTGCGTTGTACACTGTAGGTGTATATTAGCTGTGTATATATATACATATATATAGTTATCTATATATAGAAATACATATATAGTACTATGTTATATATGTGTATAATTGAAGCTCGAAATGTTCAATGCGCAGAGCTCTACTCCACTCTTTGCGCCGTTCTTCATTTTTGGGAAATCTGGTAAAAGAGAATGACATGTAGAAATGAGTGTGACTTCAATGAAATACAAATGAATGACAAATGAAGTTATGTCCATATCTGAGTAGATGATTTCGTTAGCGTGACAATGATATATCAGGTTGATATACCCATACATATATGATATATACAGTAATAACCCATATATAGTATATACCAAAAACCGAAATATACAGCATTATTTCTTGCTGTAACAAAGAATAGAAGGCTTACACATATGTGTGGCGTATCAACGTTGTTTGGTTTGTCAACATGCAGGAACACCTGACAATGTTATGTGTTACAGAGTTACGTGAAAGGAGCTAACGGCAAATGAGCTGTAATACATTTCTATGTATTCTTATATTATACAACGAAGCTTATGGTTTCGCTGCAGCTGGCGCTCGTTATATGAAGCCGCTGACGCATAATGAAATGAAATTGATAATAGAGCGTATACATCAGAGTGTAGAACTAGAAGTAGACGGTGTTGACACTTTTATAGATATTGATGTGCATAAAGCGGGAATGTTCTGCTTCGGCCATTTTGGCGAGAGTAAGGGTAATTTCGATTTCTGCGAACAATACAATTCCCTGACATATGGAATTCCATATTCCATATTCCTTGCCATGTTACTATCGAAAGTCAAGGCAATTGGTCTAGCTTTGGTCTAGCAATTGGTCCCTGCTTCCTTACTAATCCTACGGCATTATATATAATAGCATGGATAGCTAGGGCATTATATATAACATGGATATAGATACATATCAGATATATCTATAATGTAATATATATTGAGCGCGCAAATTCCAGCAACGCAAGTCACGTGAAACGACATACATGACATCGACGACGGACAACACAGTACAATGAAGACGATGTTATGCTATCACGTGTGTGTGCTTCCTTACTAATGCTAGGGCATTTCACAAAGAAACTGATCTCAATATCTGAATAGATGATTTCATGACCTTGACAATGATGCAATGAAGCAATGAAGTAATGCTGTAACGCTTTCATATGCGTGTATCTGCCAAGTTGAAGTAACCCGGGGGAGAATGCGAACGGAATGGAACGCATAGGACTATAGGACTGTATAGGACTTCTGCAGCGTTCCTGTTACGTCATCATCACGCAGCGGCTCAGGAGTCGTGACTTGTGGAAGACAGTCTTTATCACACACACTAAAACAAGATGTAAACACTGAAGTCATGACAGATTATGTTTACACACGAAACGTCGAATAATAACATTGAATGTGCAATGACTGGATGTTACTGTGCTCAATATATTGACATGAGTGAGTGTTACGATTGAAATGGAGTGCACGTCGCTGTATTGCTATGACAGATGACGAGCGCATTGAGAAATACCTGAAGTTATGAGACTTAATGTTGATTACACGTGATGAGTATTTTTAAGAAATGCCATATGATACGTAGCAAAGACGAAATAGACAGACGATTTGTGGAAAGAAGGATTTCCGAATGACATTCGCCGACACTGTACAGTTCGGTATCTTCAATTGTAATGACAACTTACATATGGGAAATCACTGTCGTTGCTATCACATCAGACATGTACGGCAGTGAGAAAATGCTAATGTTCAGCGCTTATCAATGACGACTTACCCCACTTCATTCAAATGCATATACTATGACAAGAAGTGTAAAGTTATGTCAGTTGTTCTGTAGTGTCAAACAGTCGATGTTTCATGCAGAACGACACATGACCTAGGACTTTGGCGTTGTGAGCTTCAATTCAATAGTGTTGATTGCACTGCAGCATTTCTTGTCAATTACGAATTGGACAGTACGAATTGTAGAAGGGAAATGAAAGGCAATAGAAGCTGTATGTACGCGCCGAAAGTGAAAACTCGCGTCCGTCATAGTGCATAGTCGTTCAGAAAAAGTTAAAGCAACAATACCAGTGGTGTTGAAGCTTCCTTCGCTTAGCCATTGATGTTGCTGGCATGATACACACAGGCAATGGCAACTCGTCTTGTGTCGCCAAATGTCGAAGTTCATTGGAACGACGCATATGCGCATGCGTTCCTGCACTGTCAACATGCTATAAGCACAGAAGTGAAACGCACATCTTAGTCATACAGAAGCTGCGAATGACAAGCATTGTTGATTTGTGGTTTTTGATTTCTCGACCATATCTTGACGATTGAAGTTGAGAATTGAAGAGAGTTTACGATACCAATTCACACTAGAGTACACTAGAGTACAGTAGACTAGACTGTGACTATACTATACTATATGCTACTAGACTGTGTATATTTATACCTGGAAATGGTCATGAGACTGGAAAGCAGTTGGAACAGCTCCAGCCCTCAACCTCACTGCCTGGCCAGTTCGGTCGAAAGAATCGTCCGTGAAATGCTTGCTGCAAAGCATTGAACGATCACGAAGCTGTAAATGTTCGATGCGCAGAGCTGTACTCCACTGTTTCCGCCGTTGTTCATTTCTGGGAAATCTGGCAAAAGAGAATTACATGTAGACCATCATATGCTATCACCTGCCCCCGCTTCGTGACTAATAGTACGGAATGAGAGAAATGGAGTTATGTGCATATCTGAATACATCATTTGATGACGTCGACAATTATATATGACATTTCGGAACATATATATCAGATATACGTTTCATTAAATATCTATTGACTGCTGAAACGACAGCAACGGAACTTGTGCGAAATGTAAAGAATGCACTGGCATTCATTTGGAGGAAACCTTGAGATGTTAAGGAATGACCTCAAAAATGGCTAATGACTGCCTTCATGAATTGTGATATTGCGGAAAGAATGGTTGTCGCCTATTGGCGCGTATTGCGGGGTTCATTCGCAGAACGTGTGCGCGTTTCCCGCTGAATTGCATGAGCCTACGCAATTCCGCGAAGTATGCTGTCCTTTGCATGCATTCATTTGCTGTCCCTGCTTCCTTAGTAATGCTAGGAAATGACAGAATTGCAGTTATGTCCATATCTGAATACATGATGTACTAAAAGGATACATGATACTGCTGAAAGTACAAGAACGCAACTTGTGCGAAACGTAAACAATACACTGGCATTCATTTCTAGGAAAGCTTAACATTTGAAGGAATCACGTCAAAAACGCTAGTTGCTGCCTTCATGAATTGTGATATTGCGCGGACAATTCTTGTGGCGTATTGGCGGTTATTGCGGGTTAATTCGCAGAACGTGTGCGCCTTTGACGGTCAATTGCATACGCGTAAAGAATTTGGCGAATTATGTGTTAAATATGGAAAGCCCTAGCCGTTATTAATGCACGTACGACAAATCACCACAATGGTTTGAACGTGAACTGACTAATGGCTATTTACATGTATGCGAATAATAGAATTCGCGCACATATTAAATGCGATATTCCATATTGGCTGGGATGTTACTATCGAAACGATGCGGTCATTGCGGGTTATTTCGCAGAACATGTCCGCTTTTGCCGCTGAATTGCATAAGCCTACCGAATAAGCCTGCCGTAGCCCTTAAGCCTGCCGTAGCACTTATTCATGCACGTACTACAAGCCTGCCGTAGCCCTTATTGCGCTTAGCCCTTATCCCTTATCCCTTATAGCCGTAGCCCTTATAGCCGTAGCCCCGCCGTAGCCCTTATCCCTTATAGCCGTTATAAGCCTGCCGTAGCCCTTATTCATGCACGTACTACAAATGAACACAATGCTTTCAACCTCAACTGACTAATGGGAATTGGCATTTGTGCAATCGAACAATAGAATTCGCTGACATCTGAAATTCTGTAGTGCATATTCCTTGACATTTTACTATCGAAAGTCTATTATTGGCTGTAATTGGCTGTATTATTGGCTGTAACAAACAATACAAGGCTGTAACAAACAATACAAGGACTATTATTGGCTGTAACAAACAATACAAGGCTTACAAATGTCTGGCGTATGAAGTATTGAAGACAGTACAATGAACACGATGTTATGCCATGACCTGTCCCTGCTTCCTTAGTAATCCTACGGAATTGAATAAATGCAGTGATGTGCATATGTGAAGACATCATATATATTTAGACATGATAATATGTATGACATATAACATAGATATAGTTATATATGAGAGATATATCATGTCATATATATGAACCGGTGAAATTAGACGAAGGGAAGTCACGTCAAACGACACACATGACATGGACGACGCAGAACACAGTATAATGAAGACCATGTTATGCTATGACCTGTCCCTGCTTCGTTACTAATCCTAGGGGATTAGACAAAGTCACTTCTCTGCATTTTTGAATCGATGATTTCATGACGTTGACAATGACATATAACATTCATATATATGGAATAGATATATATAACGGCATATATCTTTACTGCTATAATTACACGAAGGGAAGTTGTGGGAAACCTAAAGAATACAGTACGATTTATGTGCAGGGAAGCGTGATATTTGAGCAAATCATGTACGAAATTGGTAGTTAGTGGCTTCATGAATTGCGATAGTGCGTGGAGAATTGTTGTGCGTTATGGGCGCTTATTGGGAGTTAATTCGCAAAACATCTGCGCGTTTCCCGATGAATTGCATAAGCGTACCGAAATTGGGGAATTATTTGTGAAATATCGAAAGCGCTAGCCGTTCGCTGACATATGTAATTCAATATGACATCTTGCTTGTCATGTTACTATCAAAAGTAAAACCAATTCCTGTACACTACAACGTAAGCATATTGCAGCCACTGGAAAAGCCAAGGGTTTAGGAATAGCGGCACGATACTGAAGACTATTATTTGCTGTAAGAAACAATACAAGGCTTACAAATGTCTGCCGTATGAACCTTGTTTAGTTTGTGAACATGGATAAAGATGTGAGCATTTTATGTAGTAGACATTGACGTCGAACGACACACATGACATGAAGGACAGACAAGACAGTGTCATGAAGGCGACGTTATGCTACCACGTGTCCCTGCTTCCTTAGAAATCCTAGGGAATTTGCCAAATGCAGTGATGTGCATATCTGAATAGATCATATATATGTATCATATCGATTACGGAATTCCGCCTAGGAATTCCACCTACGGAATTGCGGGAATTATGCTGTCCTTCCCATGCATTCATTTTCTGTCCCTGCTTCCTTAGTAATGCTAGGCAATGACAGAAATGGAGTTATGTGCATATGTGAATACATCATTTCATGACCTTCACAATGATATGGAACATTTATCGACATCTATATGAGATATAGGTATAATTCCATATATATATCTAGTGCTAAAAGTAGACGAAGGGAACTTGTGCGAAACGTAAAGAATACAGTGGCATTCATTTGCAGGAAAGCTTAAGATTTAAATGAATAACGTAAAGAAGCGCTAGTTGCTGCCTTCATGAATGTTTCGCGCTGAATTGCATAAGCGTAGGGAATTTGGGAAATTCTTTGTGAAATATGGAAAGCGGTAGCCGTTCGCTGACATATGAAATGAGATATTACATATTGCTTGTCATGTTACTATCGAAAGTTAAAGCAATTCGTCTACACTATAGAACGTAAGGATATTGCAGGCACTGTAAAACGAAACGCTTTAGCAATAGACGCACTATAGTAAAGAGAATTATTTGCCATAACAAACAATAGAAGGCTGACGAATGTGTCGCTTACGAAGCTTCTTTTGTTTGTGAACATCGATAAAGACCTTCGTATTTTATGTAGTACACATTGACGTGCAAGGACACACATGAGATGAACGACAGAGAACACAGTGTAATGAACACGATGTTATGCTATCACGTGTCCCTGCTTCCTTACTAATCCTACGGAATTTCACAAATGCAGTGATGTGGATATCTGAATAGATCATATATATATGTACGCCTAATATGGATTTCATATAACATTGATATAGTCTAGACATATATATATGACATATATAGAATGTCATATATATGGACCGCTGAAATTACACGAAGGCAAGTAACGTCAAACGACACAGATGACATCGACGACGCACAACACAGTATAATGAACAGCATGTTATGCTATGACCTTTCCCTGCTTCGTTAGTAATGCTAGGGGATTTCACAAAGTAACTTATGTGCATATCTGAATAGATTATGTCATGACCTTGACAATTACATAGAACATTCCTATACATATATATGAGATATATAGAACGTGATATATATTCACTGCTGAAATGACACGAACACAAGTGGTGGGAAACGTAAAGAACACAGTCGCATTTATGTCGAGGAAAGCGTAATATTGAAAGAAAGCATGTAAACAGTTCGTAGTTACTGCCTTCATGAATTGTGAGATTGTGCAGGGAGAATTGTTGTGGCTTATTGGCGCTTATTGCGGGTAAATTCGCAGAAGATCTGCGCGTTTCCGGCTGAATTGCATAAGCGTACGGAATTTGGGCACTGACGTTTGAAATATGACAAGCCGTAGCCGTTATTGATGCACGTAGCCGAAATCCAGATAATGCTTTAAAGCTAAACTCACTAATGGCAAGTTCAATTTCGGCGAATAATCGATTTCGCTGACATATCAAATTCTATATACCATATTGCTTGGCATGTGACTATGCAAAGTGAAAGGAATTGGTGTACACTATAAGGAAAGCATATTGCAGCGACTGTGAAAGCGAACGCTTTACCACTACGGCGACTATGGCAATTACTATTATGTGCTGTAACCAAGAATATAGCGCTTAGACATGTGTGGCGTGTGAAAGTTCTTTTCCTTGTGAACATGCAGAAATAGCTAAGAATGTTATGTAGTACACAGTTACGTGAAAGCCGACAGACGATATCGAGAACGGACAAAACAGTATAATGAAGACCATGTTATGCTATGACCTGTCCGTGGTTTGTGACTAATGCTAGGCAATTAGAGAAATGCAGTTATGTGCATATCTGAATAGATGCTTTCATGACCTTCACAATGATATAGGACATTTATGAAATATATACACATATATGTGATATAGAGGTATAATTTAATATATCTTCACTACTAAAATGAATGCCTTAATGCCTTAATGCGTTCATGAATTGTTATATTGCGCGGAGCATGCTTGTCGCGTATTGGCGCTTATTGGCGGTTAATGAGCACAACATCTGCGCGTTTCGCGCTAAATATTTAAATATAAATATATATTATATTAAATAAATATATAATATATTAAACTGACTCATGGCAATTGGCATTTCTGCGCTAGTGGTAGTGCACAACTTCCCTTCCTCTACTTTTAGCAGTGTATATATATGCAATTATACGTATACATTATATATATATATGTCCTAATCTTATATACAAGTGTTAAGTTCATGAAATCATCTATTCACATCTGCACATAACTGCATTCTCTCATTCCGTACCATTAGTACAAGCGCAGGGACAGGTAATAGCATAACATCGTCTTCATTATACTGTGTTGTCCGTCCTGCATATCATGTCACCTTCAAGGGCCGACACATGTGTAAGCGCTCTATTCTTTGTTACAGCAAATATTAGTAATGAGTATAGTCGCGCTAGTGCTAAACCGTTCGCTTTCACAGTCACTGCAATATGCTTTCCTTACACTTTACAGACTCTAGACCAATTCGTTTAACTTTGGATAGTAACATGGCAAGCAATATGCTATATAAAATCGCATATGTCAGCGAAATATATTCCTCGCCGAACTTTAAATTCCATGGATTTAGCGCGAAACGCGCAGATGTTGTGCTCATTAACCGCCAATAAGCGCCAATACGCGACAAGCATGCTCCGCGCAATATAACAATTCATTAACGCATTAAGGCATTAAGGCATTCATTTTAGTAGTGAATATATAATAAATATATAATATATTAATATAATATTAAATAATTTTAAAACAGACTTTTAGCAAGAGCCAAGACTAAAGAAAAGTTTCATTTTTAGTACTAAGAAAGAGGAATTAATAGTAATAAATACTATCGAACAAGGTTAGTCAATAGTGTAACTGACAGATGCATGCCTGAGATGGTAATGAAGACTTCAAATTAAGACTTAAAATCAAATTAACAAGAGCAATAACATTATTTGGCAAAATGAAATTATCTCCCTACCTACCTACCCTATTTTATTCAAGGATGTAACCCTAAACAATGTTTTTGTAGGTCTTTTATCCTATTACAATACACGTTTCGTTCAGTTCATTCCCACGCATCAATTAATATTGGACGACGGTCGGGTGCACAAGACTTAATTTCTTCAGTGCGCGCACGACGGTCGGGTAAACAAGACTTAATTTCTTCACTGCGCGCACGACGGTCGGGTAAACAAGACTTAATTTCTTCACTGCGCGCACGACGGTCGGGTAAACAAGACTGAATTTGTTCAGTGCGCGCACGACGGTCGGGTAAACAAGACTTAATTTCTTCAGTGCGCGCACGACGGTCGGTAAAGAACTACTTTAATTCTCTCAGCTCAGCGCACGACGGTCGGGTAAAGAAGACATCAATTTCTTCACTGCGCGCACGACGGTCGGGTGCGCAGCACCTTTTATCATCACTCGGTAACCGACGGTCGTGCGCGCAACGACATTTCCATCACTCGGTACCCGACGGTCGTGCGCGCAATGCGATTTTCATCACTCGGTACCCGACAGTCGTGCACGCAATGCGATTTTTCATCACTCGGTACACGACGGTCGGGTAAATAAGACCTTCCTATATATAATGTATACGTATAATTGCATATATATACACTGCTAAAAGTAGAGGAAGGGAAGTTGTGCGAAAGGTAAATAATGGACTGGCATTCTTTTCCAGGAAAGGTGAAGATTTAAATAAATTAAAATGGGAAAGACGCTAGTTGCTGTCTTCATGAATTTTGATATTGCGCGGACAATGGTTGTGGCGTGTTGCGGTTATTGGCGGTGAATTGGGACAACGTGTGCGCGTTGAACGCTGAATTCCATAAGGCTAACGAATTTCGCGAATTATGTGTTAAATATGAAAAGCCCTAGGCCTTATTGATGCACGTACGAGAAATGAACACAATGGTTTGAACGTAAAGTGATCAATGTAATGGGAATTGCTATTTCTGCGAACAATAGAATTCGCGCACATATCAAATGCGATATTGCATATCGCTTGGGATCTTACTATCCGAACTCGAAGCAATTCCTCTAGACTACAACCTCAGCATATTGCAGCGACTGTAAAAGCGAACGCTGTAGCAATAGCGGGACTATACTAATGAGTAGTAGATTTGCTGTAAGCAACAATATAAGTACAACACTTACAAATGTTTGGCCTATGAACGTTGCTTTGTTTGTCAACATGCATAAACACATCAGCATTTCATGTAGTGAACCGTGACGTCAAACGACACACATGAGATAAAGGACACACAAGAGACTGTAATGAACAGCATGTTATACGATCACGTGTCGCTTATTGCATATTGCAGGCAGTGTAAAACTGAACGGTTTCGCACTATAGCGGCAGTATACTAATGACTATTATTGCGTCTAACAAACAATACAACGCTTACACATGTGTGCGGTATGAACGTTATTTTCTTTGTGAGCATGTAGAAAGACGTGAACATTGAATGTAGTAGACACTTACGTGAAACTATTGTAACGACTACTATTACTATTACTATTACGAGACTATTACGAGACTATTGGAACGTTCGCTCACCTATGCAAAGAAATCTTTCGTCCTTTGGACTCCTCACATGAAGAACTTTACACTTGCACGCAGTACACTACGGCCTGCCATCATATATCGATGGATGAAACATCCATGGGTATGTATATGAATTCGAAGGAAGAATGTGCTCTACGCTGTAGCTCTACGGTCTATGCATGAGGGCGATGATATGATAAGGGGGGGGGGGAGGGGGGGTGGACTCTGCTCTGGCTATATATACATGGTTTGTAGTATGACTCATGATCGGAAACACCACAGCATGTCGGGGTTATAACAGACATAGGCTGGTGCATTTCCAGCATAACGTCTTAGTGCGAATTCTCACTGTAAACAACGCATCAATCAGATCAGGCCTGGCCGTGTCCTAAAGATGCTGCGAGAATTTAGACTGGGACGTCACGATCCAGATAGACTGCATAGGTACGGGACGTTAATTTCGGCCAAGTATCTTTCGCTACCACTAAATTATAGTTAGTCGAGCGTGTGCAAAACTCTCCACCCGCGGGCGCTTGGTGCTGAAAATTCTCTGGAATAAATCCCTGCGCAACAGAGACCTCGTCCGCGCCATCATGGGACGCCATATGTACAAAATCGAGAATAAACTTAGGGGCGTTAAATTAAATAAATCAAAATCGGCTTTTCTACAATCGAAACGTAACTGCGCTACAACAACCAACAAGTTAGCCAATATACGAGTAATTTGCAATTTATTCTCGCCCTACTGCCAATAGCGCGAAAGCATTCCTGCAAGCGCCACAACTCCTCAATTGACTCGAAATTACAGGCCGATTTGAACCATAACCGTG